GAGCGCGCCGCCGGGTCCTGCTTCTCCCCCCTGCCTCCCAGCGCTTGCACCGCGAAACTACTGATTCGCGCGGCAAGCCTGGGAGCGAGGGGGGAGGAGGGGGAACACAGCGCGCTTGGGGGAGGAAACGGGGCCGGGGCGGGGATTTGGGGAGGGGACCAATAGGGGCAGGGAGGGGACAAAAATGGGGCGGGGCTGAGACGTGAGCACCCACCGGCACCCAATGGGGCAGGGAGGGGGCGGAGTCAGGCCGGGGGCGCGAGCCCCCACCTGCGCCAACAAAAATTGGCACCTGTGGTTCTAGACACGGCTAAATGCCTTGTGCGAAGGAGAGCGCTGAATGAAGCGAAAGCTGTGAACTGGGTGCACGGCTTCCCCGGAGGCCGCGGATCGGGGTACCCCGTGGGGGTGCAGAAGACAAGGGCGCAGGGGGGATAAAGTGCCAGCCTGCACAGGGCGAGCCCAGAGTGGAGCACCGGTGGGCACAGCTGTAAGCAGGTGGTGGCGATTCACCTCCAACATCTCAGGTAGCCCCGAAAAGTGTCACACACACATCCCTGCACAGGGACCGATGCAGCATCCCGCCCCCCCAGTACGGCACAGGGACATCTGCAGCTCACCCCCCACAGCAGCCAGCCCCACAGGTTGTTGTATGAGCGGCATTTAAAATCAGTGTTTTGAAGCCATTTGACGTTGATGTAATGCTCTCGTGTGGACGAAGCCAGCCCGCTCTGCACCAATCAGCTAGAGCAAGTAGTTGTAGGACACCTGGGTTTTTTCACTGCCCCAGTGATGTGATGGGGAGAATATGTGGGGGGGACCCCAGGAATGAGGGACCCAGTCAGGAAGTGAGGTGGGTGGCGGTGGGGAGCAGGGATTGGGGCATGAGGATTTCTGTACTGGGGTTTGGCCCAGGGCCAGCCCCGAGTACCTTCCTACCTGTCCTGTGACGAGGCTGTTTGGGGACGGATCAGTCTTCGCCTCTTCTTCCTCTGCGTTCAGCGGGTAGAACGGGTTGGTGCTCTCTGCGTTAACAAAGTGGAGGCGTTCGGGTTGGTCTGCGGGACACGAGGTCAGAATACCCCGGGGCACGCAGCCCGGGGCCGGATACCCCAGGGCACGCAGGCTGCACGCGGGGGGGCGCCGGGCCGGGATACACCAGAGTACGCAGCCCGCATGCGGGGGAGGGCGGGGCAGGCTGGGATACCCCGGGGCACACAGTCTGCATGCGGGGGGGCACCGGGCCGGGATACCCCGGAGCACGCAGCCCGCACATGGGGCTTCCTTCCAGAGACTCAGCCCTCGCTGCTGGGCTTAGAAGCGTGAAGTCAGCGAGAGGAACAGATGTGTGCGTGGGATTGGTGTGGGGGATGGGGATCCGAAAGCGGAGTCGAGCCCTAGTTAAGCAGGTACAGGGTCCTCTGAGCTTCTCCCCACCTTCCGTTCTGCATGGGGACCCCACAGCATCCATTGCCCCAGACAATTGCAACAGGCCGCAGGGACATTTACCTGCCTTGCCCTCCGGCTCCTGCTTGCTAGACTGGATTGCGTTCTCCTACAGAGACAAAGAGCTGGTTAAAGAGCCAGGCCAACTCCACTTATACAGGCTCTTTGGGGAAATACATTCTACATTTTAATTGGGCTGATCTGCATATGCAAATCACATTAATTACTATCCAAGATCTTCAGACTGTGATGTCGCAGAACTAGGAAATTCACCAAGTAACAATGACAGTAGCAAAAACCAACACACACACACACACACACACACACACACACGGCACTTTCAATATAATTTGTATATTAAAAACAGCTGCTTTGTAATTTAAATCTGCAGACTGAGGAAGGTTCGCTCTGGAGGTGGAGTTTACACTCTTCAAAGCAGTGGTCCCCAAACTTTTCACGGTCGCGCCCAAGCCCCCCTTATCCTTGTCCACATACACACACACCCGAGAGCCAGGGCCAGGAGTGGGGCTGTAGCTTGGGGGGTAGGGGGCGCAGACAGGGGTAAGGGGGCTGAGGCTGGGACCACAGCTGGGGTCGGGTCTGGGGCCAGGAGCAGAGCCGTGGCCGGGCCAGGGTCTGGGGCCCAGGCTGGGGGCAGGGCTGGGCCCGGAGTGTGGTTTGGTGGCACTCCATCCCCGCCCCCCTTGGGGGTTGCCCTTGGCCCCCCCACACACACCCCCGAACAATCCTCCGCACCCCACAGTTTGGGGACCTCTGCTTTAAAGGATTTTAGTTGGAATTTTAGTGCTATTTCTAATGTCGCGAGTTTCATCACAGTAAATACACTGACCCGTTGCACTGGCCACAGAGGGACCCAAACCGGGATCCCCAAACTCTGGGAAAGCTCCGATCCGGATCCGCATCTGAGCCCAGCTCTACTATTAACCCTTCGCGGTCACCCCCTGACTGGAAGAATTAATTGTGCGTCCTGGGACTGAGGTCTACTTGATGAACTTCAAAGACCACTGGAATGTCTACACTAGATCAGCTCAATGTCTTTCCCCACTCACTGCCTTTGGGCGCGGTGGGAGAGGAACCAAGGAAATTCAATGCAAAACCCCTTGATCCTGCAAAGATAATGGACACTCGCTAAGGACTGAAAGTGTCTGAAAAGGGCAAGCCCAGGCCCATCCCGCCAGTAACGGTAACTCCAGCGGGTTGGACGCCTGGAGCCATTTCTGAGCCCGCTTGTCCGGTTCGATGTGCAGCGTCGTGTGTTACTTCCCTGCCGCCAGGCACGCAGGCAGCCCGGCTTTTGCATTTCCCAGCCTCTTGCGACTGTAACCGGGCAGCCCCAGTGTCAGCGCTTCGGCATTTAACACAGAACGAAAGAACAGACGCGGCCCCGGGCTGCCACCCTGCTGGTGAGCGCCTGACGAGACAAGGCCGGGGGCGGGAATTCCTGTCAGGACACTTCTAACTCGCCCATGTCACCAGACCCATAAGAACATAAGAACGGCCCTACTGGGTCAGACCAAAGGTCCATCTAGTCCAGTGTCCTGTCTTCCGACAGTGGCCAGTGCCCGGTGCCCCAGAGGGAATGAACAGACCAGGGAATCATCGAGTGATCCAGCCCCTGTCGCCCAACTGACCTGAGTCTCTGTGGGCTGGGGGAGCTGATGAACAGCCTCTTGGGGAAGCCTGCGAGAGGAGAAAACGATTAGTCTTTCTGGACAATTCTCCAGGCTACAAAGATGTCTGGCTTCCTCCCCCAAGGAGCGTGTGCACCGCCCTGCTCTTCATAGACCCTTCTTCCAAAGGGGGGGCCCCTCCGGCTCGGGCTGTCTGGCCGGCTCTCCCCGCCCCCATTCGCTGGCTTCCCACTTATTCATCTCCCCCTCCGTTTCGGCTTCTTTCCCGCACCGGCCCAGCTGTCTGTTTCAACCTCCCTCCTGTCTGCCCCATCCATTTCTCCCTGTCCCTCCTGCCGTCCCCCATGGAAGGAAACAACCTTACAGTCAGGGAGGATGCAAGCAGCAACAGGTCCCTCACTAACCCGGCTTCCAGCCGGAGAGTCTCCTTCACCCACAAAACCCTCCCTATGTCCCACTAATTAGCCCCTTCCACGCGCCTCTCCCGGAGCCTGAGTCACCGCCTGCAGCCGTCCCCGCTCGCACACTCCTTCCCTTCGCACAACTGGAAAGAGGCGTGCGCATGCACACACACACGCACGCACCCACCCACATACACACAGCTCCTCCTCTCTCCGCTTTGGGCCTCTAAGCCAAAAAGCTTCTCACCTGTCCTCACCATCTGGCACCTCAAATGGGCCCTCCTCCTCGGACGCTGGCTCACTGATCACCTCCAGGTCCCCCACGCTGGCACTGCGCTTCGGATCCCGCTCACCTGCTCACAGGGATCATGGAAATCTAAAGGGACTGAAGCAACCTCTCCCGCTCCGTGTCCCGTCCCAGCGTCGGATTCCTGGCTCCCTGAAATCGGGGCATCATGGGCACGGCGTCCCCATGGGACAAAGCTGGGTCCTACCCCAGCCTCTCTGCAAGCTGCAGCCACTAGATGGCGACAGCGTCACACTAGAGCAGGCGGGCACCTCTCCTCCATCGGTCACTGAGATCCCAGCTAGGGCACCGGTCCCAGCGGCCAGACCCTGGCCCAC